AAAAAAAAAAAAAAAAAAAAAATATGCTAATTATTATTGTCAAAATTGAGCAAAGAGGGACACTTATACATTACGGGAAAAATCAAACAAAAACATCATTACAAATGTTGTGCTAAATTCGGGGTGCATATTATTGTTATGCAAGTAATCTCATGGTTAGGTATGGACTACGGAAGCATTTGCTCGAGGGTTAACATATGCACACATGGGACATAGGACCACGCTGTTCGCGTGTGCAAGTGACCTATACACACACGCTCTAACGTTCGAAGGTACGCTTGAGCTGAGCTGGGAGGTCCCCCCTGCTTACTACGCCGTTATTGGCGATACTGCGTTGTTCATAAATATGTTCAACAGTGTGCGGGGGTCCTCATTTTCAAACGATATTCTGTGGAGAATCGTGAAAAGGGGAAATTGGTGGGTTAAGTCGTTCTTTTTGATCATTTGGTAAACGTACTTCAAAGTCACAATTCCCTGAAGAAAAAAAAAAAAAAAAAAAAAAAAAACAAAAAAAAAAAAAAAAAAAAAAAAAAAAAAAAAACAAAGAGTAAATTGGACGTGCATGAAGCTACATAGGAAGTGCGGATCATTTCACCTACATATAACATATCTCCCTTTGTATGTCAACTGAATCCCTAGGGGGATATACTTGTCCAGGTGACTAACCCATGATTCAATGATGCATCGGCTAAGTTGGACATTTTGTTTTTCACCAAATTCTGGTAAAAATTTCTTCCAGTGAACCTCACACTACGTGCCCTTCCAGGGGGGCCTCCAATTTGCTGCTCTTCCAATGAATTTTCTCCGTGTTGTGGCAGATATAGTGTGCGTGCAAGCTTGTGGTTTATCCTTCAACACAGGCCCACACGTACGTACAGCATGGCAAATATGACGGCTAATTTTTTTTTAGTTATACATGACAATCCACACATCATTTCAACTTTTGATTAGTAATTTTTTTGAGACTTTTTTTTTTTTTTTTTAATTAAAAGGTATACCACAGCTGACATGGACAGGTGTATATATGTAGGACTTAATAAGTACTGGTTAATTATCATTTTTTTCCTTTTTTCCCGTTCAAATGCCATTGTCCGTTAGATATTTCCCCAATAAAAAAGACACAATGGGACAGCGCAAACATGCATAAAGTGCTAATAATGCACATTGTTCATTTTAATTATTGTAGTGTACACAAGAGGAGGACAGGTTCATATTCAAA